CAATTTGTGCAACTGTCTAAAGCTGATTGAGTGCACAATAAAGAGAAACATACCGGTTTCAATGAGCTCAAAGTGATAACTTTACTCCTTTTAATGTATTATGTTATATAGCAACAGCAATGTTACAGTATATGAATATAGCCTACTGTTCACTGGAGTTGTTTTTTTTAGTTATCCATATAGTAAAGAAAATGAAGAAACAATGAAGATTCACAGTGATCCTGAGCCACTAAAATTACAGAGGTTATTTCATTACATGTCACTCAGTAAGATCGACTGAAGTTACAACCAAATTATGATAGGGGGTGTACAATAATAAATTGCGTAAATCAATTATCAGTTAAAAAACACTACTGTATGAAGCACAATGCGAATGCAACAGACTCAGGGCACACACATGATGTCATCTACATTTTTAAGAGTGAGCAGGTAGGTTTGTTTATCGACTATTACTGTGCCATAGAATAACAAAATACGGAGGTCATGTCATAGGATATCAAAAATGTCAAGTACTCACTGTTGGAAATCAAAATTGGTAAAACGAGCAGTGGAAGATACTGTACGAACAGGCCCTAAATGAGTTACGATGATCATGTTCTGTCCATTGACATGATTTTAAGTGACCTGTTGGTGAGGGAATGTTGTCTAGATAATGAGATGCTGTGCTTTAACAATTGCCGGACTATGATGCTGGGAGACTTCTTGGGGAGGGACAGGTCAGGTCCCAGAAGGCAGAGGGTATCTCGTTTATTGACAGATGAGTGCTGTTTAGCACTTGATCTAAAGGAAGACAATGTGTGCAGACATTAGGAGCATGATGGTCCTGCTGTGACTGTTGTGTTTGGGTTTCGTTTGTTACAAAAAGACTTTTGGTACAGACTGACGACAACACTATTTCTCAGTAATATTAGGCCAAAGACCAAACCATGAGGGTCAGCTTCTAGCAGGACAATTGCAAGACCACATAGGATTACAATGGAAAAAGGCCAAGAGAATAATTCTGATGTTTGGGTAGTGATCCGCCTTTTCTCCTGACTTATCTAGTTGACTTTCTCCAGTAGAACCAAGATGAATTAGCTGAAAATGCCAAAGCCAAGACTGATGCCCAGCCTACTGGGGCTCCAAGCCCACCAGGTGCTTCATTGTGGGGGGAGGGGGGCTTGGCTGACCAACTGGCACTTTTGTTTTTACGCTTCACTGATACCCTCTTTTTGAAGGGCACAAGCTGCTGAGCAGCTCCAGCTGGCATCAGTCTCTGTCTGTCCAATTTTTGCACTTGAGTGAGACAGCACTGACAGTTAAATTTCTGTATCAGGGCCAATATCTTTATAGCACATTGTAGTGTATTGCACTGCAGCAAAGAGTGGAAATATTACAATAATGTTAACCTGTCACTGTGCTTTGGGTCTTTTTTAAGGAATAAATGAGACTTCAGTGTTCTAATCAAGTCAATCTGATTAAATCTTTAAAAAAAATACATAAAATTCCAAAAATATGAACATTTAACTTTATTTGAGACCTTTTCTATTGAAAAATATCTGAACAAATTCAGTGACCATAAATTCCTAAGCATCTGGTAAGCAATTTACACCACAGAAAGTTGCAGTTCCATTAAAATGCAAAATTCTAATTGTACACAAAGAAATTGGAAAGTCAACATGAATTTATTCAAATAGCCAGCACAACAGAAGAAAAAAGATGGGATCTTACCAATTTTCACAAGGTTGGTCCAAATAATGATTTGAAATGGCGTTACAGTTCAGTCCAAGCAGAACATTGTGCTTCCTAACTATGAAAAAACGATTCCTTCCAGAAAACACTTCAAGCTCAGCCATGGTTAGAAACTCAACCTTTAACTAAACTTGAATGTAATTTGTGCATACAGTGAGGGTCTAAAATGGCTTTCACATATTCTCAGCTGCACTCATGATGTTAGCACCCTCTAGTGTTCATTACCTTTTGTTTATATGGCAAAAGTAATAATAATAAACTTTATTTTATATAGTGCCTTTAAAGGTGGATTCTCAAAGTACTTTACAGGATGACAACAACAATAAATAAGAAGAATACACAAGATAAGACACAATTACAATATGTAGAGGAGACCGTGGATGGTGGTACTAAGAAAAGCAGAGGGGTGAAGAATGGAACCAGTTAAGTAAAGGCTCTTCTAAAGAAGAGGGTTTTGAATCTGGATTTGAAGGAGTCTAGAGAAGGTGACTCTCTGATATCCTTGGGGAGAGAGTTCCAGAGCTTGGGGGCATAAGAGGAGAAGGCACTGTCGCCCATACAATGTAGATGGGCTTGGGGTACAGTAAGTAGAGCAGAATTAGAAGAGCGAAGGTTGCGAGGTGGGGAGTAGGGCGATAATAGTTCAGACAGGTACTGAGGTGCCAAGCCATGCAGAGCCCTATAGGTGAGCATGAGGATTTTAAAGTCCACAAGGAATTTGACCAGAAGCCAGTGCAAGGACTCCAGGATAGGAGCAATGTGAACACTTGCACTAGACCTGGTCAGGATTCTGGCTGCTGAGTATTGGACATACTGCAGTTTGTTCAGAGTAGATTTAGATACCCCAGCGAGTAGAGCATTACAGTAGTCAATTCGAGAGAACACAAATATGTTGATCAGCTTTTCAGCAACAATTAATGATAGCATAGGGCGCAGTCTAGCGATATTTCTAAGGTGAAAAAAAGATGTTTTGACAGTATGCTGCACATGTGGGTCGAATGTTAAGCCAGAATCGAATATAACCCCAAGGTTTTTCAATTTTGAAGTACAGAACCATCTACAGATAGGGTTACAGGGGGAGCCAATAAGCATTTCCACTGCTCCTGCTAAGCCTTACTCATCAGTTCCTGGACTAATTAAGCACTTAAGCACCTAGTAATCTTTAACACCTGGACTAATCAGGCAATTAACAATTCATTATTGTTTGAAGACTCCAGTCCTATAATGGAATGAACCAGAAGTGTCAAGAACGGCCTATGAGAATTTGTATTTCAATGCACCACAGTTTAGTTCTCACAACTACATTTTGAAAGATGAAATGCTTAATTAAAGAGCCATTTTTTGAAGTATCAACATTGTCACATGATAAAAAACATTTAGTCAATGAAAGTCACATATCTGTCTCTCAAAGACTCAGTTCTAGGATCTTGGGTTACAGTCCGGGCTAGGACCCCATTCTGTGAGCACAAATGGAAAAGTGCACATGCAACACCAACCTAACAAACTCCACAGCCCTGAATACGTGGTTCCAACAGTGAAGAGTTCCGGTGGCTCCATATTGCTGTGGAGCACATTTTGCTGGCATGGTTTAGATATGGTCGTTTTCTTAGAAGGCATGACCAGTGGTATAGTCAGCAGCTTATCATTCTGCGACTCCCAACTGAAGTTAAGCAGAAGTGAGCCTGGTCAGTACCTGGATTGTAGGCCTCCTAGGATAGCTAAAGCTCCTGCTGGTTAATTGGACCAGTATGAAATGCTCACACTGTGGTCTGTGTAGGTACTAATGCCCCAGTATAGTAACGGGGACCCTATACTGTAAAAAATGTGCCATGAAAGCGAGGTCCGGATTTTCTGTGGTCATTTAAAATCCTAGAGCATTTCCAAAAAAAGCAAGGGTGTTACCCTAGTGTCTTGGCCAAATTTCCCCCCAGCCTTTACCAATCACGGCCTCCTAATAATCCTCATCTCTGAATTGGCTTCATCACTCTTTTCTCCTCCCCACTGATAGCTGGTGTGTGGTGAGTGTACTGGAGCACTATGGCTGCTGTGTCATCATTCCAGATGGGTTCTGCACATTGGTGGTGGTGGAGGGGAACCCCCATTACCTGTAAAGTGCTTTGAGTGAAGTGTCCAGAAAACCGCTTTGTAAGTGTGAGGATTATTATAGTCACTACTTTACATTAGTGAGTGATACTCTTCACTCCGTGTTGCAGCATTTCTTTCTTGCAGGGAGGGTGAAAATTCCCCCAGCCACTCGTGGTATCCCTGTGGACCGATGAGCATGATTCTGATGCTATCCATATATTAGTCACACAGCCTTCTCAGGCCCAGGATCTAAACCCAATTGAGTATTTATGGGTCATTCTGGAACAATGCCAGAAATAGTTTTCCACATCCATCAAACAGGCATGAGCTGATCGACTTTCCTGTGGAAGAACAGTGCTGCATCCCTCTGGTAGAATTCCAAACGCCGGCAGACCCTATGCCATAGCATAAACAGGGCAAACTGGCCACACATGGTGGTCCAATGCCCTGTTGAGTGACTTTACATTGGCATTTCCATTTTTAGGTCTACAAACTGTCGTTGCTCACACTAAATTATACAATAGCTCCATCTACTGGACAAAATAATTCCACCTAAAACTCTCTATGACAGAAATCAAGTTGTGAATGAAATGGACAACACTTACTCCCAAGTCAAACTACTTTAGTACCCTGCCCAATTCATGACCAGTTTTAAAAGATTTTTTGGTCGTTGAAAGGTTAAGCCAAAGGTATGTTCTTAGCATCAGGCCTGTGCCAAGAACTGGGTCTTAGAACAGAGCTTCCTGGTGACTGACTTCATGACTGGATCCATGCAGAATTAAGACAACTCATTAAGAGAGTGTCTGGTACAGAGGAAGTCCCATCCATGACTGCACATCTTGTTCATGGTTTTGGGTATAAACAGCAGGTTATTTCTGGGTGAAGATGGCATAGTGATCAAGAGCTTCTTGGCTAAGCTCAGTTAGTAAGCAAGATGACAGAATGAGGTGAAAGCCATTAATTTTCGGCTCCCAATTTCTAACCCAAAGGTTCATCTTTAATCGAACACCAACTAACTCTAAACCCTAACAGTTTCATTTATGAACTATTAAATATGCTAATGTTTCCAACATACCGAATATAGGGCAGTCACTGGGTTTGGGAAGTGGTGATGAAGAGATTTCTGACCTTGTTGCCGTTTGGCCCCCTGCACCTGAGACTACTCTTCGACAAAATGCACCCAGTAAATCCGAAAATCATTTATTCATTCAGTTCACATTTCCATCGCAGGCGTTTTCTGAACAGCGATGACTGAGACACTTGCCAGGCAGAGAACCGAAGAAAAACATCATTAAGTTAAAAAAAAAAACACCAAAAATGATAGAGCTCCTTTTGGATAAGAAACATATATATATAACAAAAATTACAATGACCAAAAAATAATGAAAATGTACTAAAATTTAATTATTCATAAAAGCCGGAATTGTTTGTGACAGGAAAACACAAGAAGCGATATTAGAGTTGGTTTAGTATAATATATTTCAGCTTTGAGAGACATAGAAACCAATTATTATTATTCCCACAGTTTTTTCTATAAAATACCTATTTTGTTTCCCCAAAGCATATTTATGCAAAAGAAAAAAAAACCTTTGGAATTCAAATCCATTATGGGAAATCTGAAAGCCCAGTGACTTCAAATACAAAATAAAGTCACACAGGAAAAGAATGTTATTTGCTGCAAAGCCCATTAATGTCAGGAAATAAAAATATATATGGACTTCAATCTATTACTTTTGACACAATTAGTGCTTAGGACTGGTACATGATAATAAAAAAGGTCAATAATCATCAATTCTGCTTCCATTTGCAATATTATATATAATTTTAATTGAGGCCATGCTGTTTGTTTATAATCATAGATCTAAATTTCAACTGCCCCCCAAAAAAAGTTTATTATCTATTGCCAGACATGAAAATACTGTAGTCTTTAAACATTTTGTTAAAAAAAGAACAAATGGAGGCCAGGAAGCTGAAGATTCAGGGTCTGTCTTGACAGTCAATCCTACCAGAGAAAAAATCCGGATTCTTCGGCTGACTGATGTATAAAAAGTACAGAGGAGTCCGTCCGAGATATGTGGTCAATTATTTTCACTTTTCCTTGCAGTTGTAGTTGTAGTAGTAAGATGCTTGTTTTTTTTTTCTTTTTGAAGTTTTCATTTCTGGTTGAAGGTCTGGAATGCTGGCACTTTCCAAAGAGGCAACAGTTCTTCATTTCAGCATTCTGCATCGAGAGAGAGACCAGGGTTAGAGCAGTGGTCTTAAAACGACACTTCAACACTAGGCGATATCGATTTCTTCTAGTAATAATGTTTCTGTAGGACAGCACTGAATTGAAAACTGAGGGGGATTTATGTAAAAATTGTACATTGTGCTTATATTATACCATTTAGAACACGGGGCACAACTCATGTTATCAAGTTACTAAAACGATATTAGTGCTTTGCAACCAAATCTAGGAGAAAAATAAACATATCATTTGCTATTGAAAAGAGAAATGCGAGGGGATTTGATTCAAGTTTTCAAAACCCTTGAAGATGATGAAGTCCATTTAATGTGAATCACATCGTTGTAGACCACAGGGAAGAGGTTTCAAGACCTGAAAACAGGAGCCTTCTCTTTTAAATGGAGAGCAAGTCTGAAACAAGCTACACAACCATCTTATCAAACCCATGTGCTCTCCTGAATGGAGGAAATCCCCAGATCAATTACCCAGCAACCCAAAAGAACGCAACCTTTCATACGGTCGTGATAAGCGCCTGTTTTTGTTTCAAAATATCCTTCTGCCCAGGTCTAGAATAATGACACTGCAGGGTTATCAGCCTTTACCAGTTTCACTTAATCTTTCTCCTTATGCCCATCCAATCTGGAAGTGCTTACAGTTTCTCTTTCGTAAAGGTCGACACTGGTGAAAAGACTCAATCAAGCCACACAACAAAAACAAAATGAGTACATTTAACAGCCTGTGCTTCGGATCAATGTGGATACCACACGGTCTTGAAACTTGTAAAAAGGATGCAAAGACTGAAAACGAAGAGCTCAGAACAAGTGGAATTATGCCTAAATTGGGTAAAGAAAGGCAACAGTACATTGCCGATGTGCAGGAAGGCAGGAGCCAGGTCCTCACACAGAGAGACTCTCTTAGGAAAGGCCAGCGGCTCAGGGTCTCTGATGAGTCAGCCGCTCCGAAGCTGTGAGAGGAGCTGGGGCCCAGGGCTCTGGGCAGCCTGCTCACTCAAACAGGACTGCCGGCTGATGGAATCGGCGTGCCTTTATCCCATTAGCAACGCTCGGCTGCCCAAACAGAAATGAATAAACACAGCCTCGGGCCAGTGTGCCGTGCGACAAGCACAGCTCGGCTTTAATCGTGAACGACATCGCATCGTCATCTGGAATGTGTGCTGGCAGAGCCAGGGAAATGGAGAGAGAGCCAGAAAGCAGAGCTGTGGGAGGGCTCATTCAAGCACTAGGGGGGGTGTCTTCTGGGACAGAACAGTTTACAGAGGCACTGACACAGGGGATCTACAGCTGCACGAGTCTGCATTGGTTGACTACCCAGCACTCTGGCAAGAACTGAAAGCGTTTTAAAACTGAGAATAAATATGAAATTCTCACAAAGTCTCTCATTCCACCCACCCACAAAAACAGAGAATAAGAACAGTAAATTCAGCCCAAATGCAGATTTGGATTAGTAAAAATTGGCACCTAAAATCTTTAAAACACCTGTCCTTACACAGGCCAAGTCAGGGTGTTATACTCCTGTTTGGGTCCTCCTGAGTGATATGGCAGCTCAGCAGTGACACTCTGGTCTAAAGACTAGCTTGATCAGCAATCCCACACTGCACTTGGGAGGGGCAGCAAGTTAATCTTCTGCCCTTAGTTAACATGGTTAACAGAAATCTTATTAGTTAAAGATGTTTGTCTATGTACACAAGTCAGATCTACTGCAACATTATTATAGAAATTAATTGTAATCTGATTTGTCAAAATTGAAAAAGCAGAACACGTAAAAATGAGAAAATAATGAGGCATCAACACAGCAACAATATAGTATAATAAGTTTAGTACAACCTTACTAAACATTAAAGTAGTAGTTTTAACTCCCCTGTTGAAGAAAACCACTTTGAAATAATAAATACACACTGTGCAAGCACTTTAAAACTCAACTGAGCCCAGTGAAAAACTAGAATATTAAAACAACATCCTTTTCAAGTGATCCTTTTCAGTAAATTGCAACTCTGTCAAGGAGTTACACATTCTCTGCATGAAAAAAATCTTTGTGATCACCAGGCACATTTTAATTGAGGAGTATCCAGCTATATACTTGCAGATCTGGTCTGTTTCTTCGAATCCGGCAAACGCCATGAAATCTGTACTTTGTCTGTGCTGACATGTACTCTTCAAATACAAGTTCCAAATACCACGGTCTTGTAAACAACACAGCGCGTTTCACTTGATTGGGCTCAAACAGACAGACACATGGCCTGTTTACAGGCTAGTGAACAAGGGGAGAGGTGGGGAGGGGAAAACACATGAAGGAAAAGGCAAAATTGAGCAGGTGAACAGGAAATAAAGAAATGTTAATAGGTAAGAAATTTCAGGGCCGAGTGTGAAAGGTGAATAGAGGGGATCAATCTGTAGCCTACAGGTACAGCTATACCTGTTCCCCTGAAGATCACTTTTCTGGACATTCTAATTTTCACAGTGAACTGAAATAGTGCCGTGGTAATCACATCCCTACCTACAGGAAGGGTGCAGTACTGCTTGGTTAACTACAGATGGTGCTGTTTCTGTCCAACACTGCTCTGAAGTCAGGAGTGTGAGGGCACACTTATTACATATAATAATAATTATTATAATTGCTTACACTTATATAGCGCTTTTCTGGACACTCCACTCAAAGCGCTTTACAGGTAATGGGGACTCACCTCCACCACCACCAATGTGCAGCATCCACCTGGATGATGCGACGGCAGCCATAGTGCGCCAGAACTCATCAGATATCAGTGGGGAGGAGAGCAGAGAAATGTAGCCAATTCATTATTAGGAGGCCATGATTGGTAAGGGCCAATGGGAAATTTGGCCAGGACACCGGGGTTACACCCCTACTCTTTTCGAGAAGCACCCTGGGATTTTTAATGACCACAGAGAGTCAGGACCTTGGTTTTACATCTCATCCGAAGGACGGCACCTGTTTACAGTATAGTGTCCCCGTCACTATACTGGGGTATTAGGACCCACATGGACCGCAGGGTGAGCGCCCCCTGCTGGCCCCACTAACACCTCTTCCAGCAGCAACCTTAGTTTTTCCCAGGAGGTTTCCCATCCAGGTACTGACCAGGCTCACACCTGCTTAGCTTCAGTGGGTTGCCAGTTGTGAGTTGCAGGTAGATATGGCTGCTGGCCGATCATATTATATTATTTTATGTAAAAACAAAATTTCATTAGGCTACTTTAGATCCATATTGTATGTATTTAAGGTATGAATTGTTGAGATACAGCTTTTGTCACCCATTGCTACTGATAAATATTTACCTGCTGTGTATACAGAATGACATAGTATTTAATAGTACAAAGCTCTGAGGTAATGCCAAATTTACCTTCAGTTTACTTTGAATCAATCATGTTCAACATGAATATATGCGTTATGTTCCATGTCATTTTTGTACTGGGACAAGCACACTTAAATGTATTTCATAGGACAAAGCTTGGAATAAACAGAGAATGGTATGGCCAGGTTTCCTTCATTTCCTTCACCTGTTTTGAGCTGAGCCTGCTAAACATGAATGTACACAATATGTCACTACTTTTTGGACAGATGAGATGACATGCAGTTTCATCAAACTGTGAGTGAAGAATGAAAAATTATTTTTAAAAAGTCACTGCAAATACGCACATAAGCACTCTGGAAAAGAAACATCAACAACAGAAAGCATTCTAATTGTGAGCCATGTTACAAATGAGTGATGTTATGCAAGGGTGTCCCACTACCTTTTTATAACAGTGCACCCGTGAATGCTTGGTGCACTTGCACTATGTCACAGAAGTGTAGACTTGGAGGAAGGGTTTAGGGCTTAGTGTGGCATTTGGGTCACCACCCTAGTCATCTCATCATAAGCCTAAAAGCCCCTGATAAGGCCAGTTATAGATATAAACTTACAATAAAAGGAGTTAACTGCTGCCCAAAAAGAAAATACAGTGAACCTGGTGGAATCTAAATTCACATTTATCTAGAGTTGCATACAAAATTGCAGTTTAAACACTGAGGGGCTGGAAGTATATGATTTGCCTGCTCATCATCCAGGTTTATTCTGTATAAAAACGCATTAGTCTTACTGTCGGTATCTAGAAGAGTGCCCAGAGGAATAATACTTCTTTATACAAATGGCTTGAACACCAAAAATGATTTAACACTTGATCTCAAGAATTAACCTCAAAATTCACACCCAATTTTCATGTGATGTCGATGTTGTAAAATTTAACACAGCTCCTGGATACTGATATGTCACTTTGCACTGTCCTGCTGAAGTTTGATGAAGATTCCTCGTTAGTAGATGGCAAAGGTACCAAGCCTCTGCCCCTGGCATCACACACTCAGCTTCAAAACAGAGCGAGGCCAGACTGGCACACCCACCTGGCTCAGAGCTGCTGCTGGTGGGAGTTTTAGAGCAGTAGGCAAGACGATTTCTTTTTCGCCTTCTTCTTTTCCACTGGCGTTTTCCTATTTATCTGTCTGACCAGGTCATAGAAGATCTAGAAGAGAAAGAAAAACGGATATCAAAAAAGTGAGAGAAAGAAGATCTGGAGACAGCAGATCTTTTAAGATCTAAGTTAGACTTAGCAGATCTAAGTCGGATCTATGTGCCGTGACCGATAGGAAAAAAAATCCCACCCTGCCTTTGATAAACCTCTGACCTGCCATCTAAACACCATATAAAAAACAAGCTCCCCTCAAGTGTACAGCAGACGTTTCCCCGATTAAATCCCACATGAATGCAAGACTAAGCTGGCAAGGTTGTCGAAGTAGAATTTGGAAAAAACCGGGAGGCATGAAGTTTTGGAGGTTGGAGTGCTCCACATCCAAGATGCACCGAAAAGCAGGAGGTGACGCCTCGTGAACCAAAATGTTCCTATATCCCTGGAGAGTGCTGGGAAAGCAACTCCAGATAAATTATTAATTTCAAACTAAAAATTATCAGAACTTTCTACTTCAAAGCTGTGGCATGACATCAAATTATACACCTGTTTCAGGACCTGCAGCTCATCCCCTTCCTGTGCTCCGTCCATTAACCGCCAGTTAAATATTATACGGCTTTTGTCAAATAACAGAAGGAAGAACAAGGCCCTACAAACATGCACTATATCCTGTTGGGGTACCCTGCTCAGTGTTGGACAGCACCACCACCCAGATCTGTAGGCCCAAATCTGCACTTTACATTGAAGCTTCCAATGGTTGAGCAACCTGGGAGCCCAATTTCCTCCTTATCAACTCTTTTTGGCTGAACAACTATTATTCCAACGTGGAGCAAAGCTGTTAGGGGTCCAGTCTGCACTCCCGGCCCTGAATCTCTTCCCCTACTGCTGACTGCAGAAGGAGCGGTGTCCAGTATGGTGGAGATGCAGCCGGTAGTGTAACCAATAAGCCTCGTCATGAACCACTGCTAACAGTCATTTCAAAGTGTTAGCAAAATCAGTAAAAAGGAAAAGACAGATCAAGTGTCGATTTAAGCGCTGCAAGCTGGATCCTTACCTCGTTAACGTTGATCTTTGATTTCGCAGAGGACTCTAAAAAGGCACAGTTGTTCCACTGTCTGGCGAGGTTCTGTCCCTGCTCCTTGCCCACTACCCGCTCGTCCTCGAGGTCACACTTGTTGCCCACCAGGATCATGGGGACCTGAGGGGGCAGAGACAGAGCACAGGGCTGATGGACAGGAGTGGACAGTGCTGTTGGGGTAAAAGAGTTTGATGGGCTCAATAGCCTCCTCTTGTGTTTACCCTGTATTCTTATCTAAATGTCTTTTGAATCCTCTGTGATTCAGGGACTCTATAAAGTTAGATAATAGCATGAGCTGAAGGTGAGTGTAGGTGGCCTCCAGGTGACTGATAAACATACAAATAATACAGCTCTTAAATCTTAGTCGTATTTAGCTTTTAGCCTTATACTGAACAGGGTAAAATTTCAATACATACGCTACATGTAATGCAATCCTTCATACTATTCTTTCCTCCACTGTGTTTCACTGACTAAAATGCTCGTCCCACCCCGTATGGTTTGCAAAAAGAAATGTTTCTAGCAAATACAGGTAATGGCAGACAGCTTCGATTGAAACTTTGCTCCATAATCTAGATGGACAGATAACTGCAGGATGATTTTCCTGCCAGTAATCCAACAAGCAACAAGGCCAAAAAGGTACAGTTTGGCCTCTCTTTGGGGCATCATTCTTGGTGTACATTACAAAGAAAAGATCTTTCTGGGTACTGAAACTAATCTTGTGTACATTGTTAAAACCCCTTAAAACATGTTCCTACAACTCCTGGGTAAAATTAGTTTCCTGCCTTATTTCAATACCTCAGGTGATTTTTCACAGTGGGAAGAGGAAAGTAGAGTCAGAAAGAGCTTCTCTTCAGCTGAACTCCCATCAGCTCAGCTGGAAGCCCGGTCATGAAGAGCCTGTAAGTGTTACAGTGGCTGTTTCTTGTAAACTGTACAGGAATTATCTAGTGTGTGAACTCTGCTGTGACACAAATAAGTGGAAACAGTCAAATCTGTCAGCAAGCAAAGACGGAAAGCAGAAGAGTTCCATCAGATGACAAAACTGGTAATGAGGGGAAGTGTTTTTTTATTAGAAATCCTGTAACAAAAGCCCTTTTGGGGAATATGCTCATTACACAAGAGGCAGGGCTGCCAAGAAATCATAGCACCAAGCGCCATTCCTGAAAAGGTCTGTCTTGTTCTTTTGCTGGCCCTTTCCAAACCCCACCAAAGGAAGTTTTTCTGAGCCCCCAGGCTGAAGACAGGGTCCTCTCTTGAGAAACGGAGAACAGGAATGTTTGGACTGACCACACTATGTGGCAGCACTTCTTGTTTGGATTCCAAACAAGCGTCTGGCATGGGCTGAGAAAACACTGAAAGCAGACTTTCCCTTGCAGGGTCCAAACATCAACAGGCATTTCCACAAAAACACTCAAAGGAGCAATGCAGACTCAGCTTTCTAGGCCGCGCTAGAGCACAGATCTTCAACCTGTCATATTTTTCCATGAGTAATGTATTCATATGTACAGTATGCGGATTTCGTGTTGGTCTGCACACTGTCAATAATATTACCATCACTTTAACACAGCTATGGACTGCAGAAGATCTAAAGACAAAAATGAAAAACATAAACAGCACAAGATCTTGTATAATGGGAGTCAAAAAGTTTTACCTGAGTAAATGGTGGGCTGTTGTGGCAGAGGGGCAATGTTGTACCTTTGTGCCTGTCCTTGTGAAGGAAGTAGCATTTGTTACAAGAGTTTCCTTGTTTGCATATTTTGTAAGATGCTTTCCTTTGTCACAAACTTTGCAAAAAACATTTTCTAAAGAAACCTCACAATCTCAACAGCCAAAAAATGTTCCTCTTTGCTATTTCTCAGAGTGGAATGAACCTTTATTTGTTCCTTTGTAGCCAGTGCACATTAACGCAGATCTCTACTCAAACGTTTCTATGCGACTTCAGAGGCCAATTAATTTATCAGTGTATGGCTTATGGATTACGGATATGACCATCTCCCTTTTTAAAAATTATGTTTTGTAATGTGCAATATGGAAAGAAGCTCACACTGTGAGAGGATGAAGAAACATGTGGCCAAAAATATGGTCTTTATCAAAACAAAAGGTAATCCATCAATCAACTACCAACCAACCACTCTCATGGTCTCTGCCAGTCATGCACCACTTTCAGGGTAAAATAAAATCTGGGGACGAAAGAATCATGTTTCTCAATGACCAAACAAGGGCATCGTGCTGACAGAGTGCCTGGATCTCCGAGCCAAGTGAGCTTTAGGCAGGAACAGCGCTGTCCGGAGTTGCAGCCTGAGTTTCCATGGGCTTGGAAACAAACAGCCCAGGAGCCAACACACAGAACTGAGCCCTGGTCACCTTGCTGTCTGGGACAGAGCTCCTCTTTGCAAACACTACCAGGCAAAGCCTGACAGCAGGACATTTCATTTCTGAATGGAAAAAAAAAGCAGCAATACCTCATAACCAACCAGTCTGTTATCTAGGTTTGCCTGCTCTGTTATACAGTCTCTCGATAAGCTCCAATGTCAGCAAGCGCTGTCTTACCTGACATTGTCCTGGAGAAAAATGATTAGCGAGCAGCTGAAAAACCTATAACCTGACTTTGAAAGTCTATTGTCCAATTAATCAAAGTTTCAAAACTTTGGAAGTGAACTGACCATTCAATCAGTTCACTTTCAAAGACTTCAGCACAGTACAGATAGTCAATATCCTACACTACAAATACAGAGAAATTATCTCACCAACAGTCCTATCTGTTTTAAGTGCATATCACAGTTCTGCAGCAAAATTAATCCAGAAACCTCAACACAAGAAAAATACAAGAGAATGCTTTCCCTGGTCCCAAAACTCCAGCATCTTATTTCTGAAGGAAGTGATTGCCTGGGAAGTAGCCAGACAGCAGGAAACACAACAGGAAATGAGGAGATTATAAACCACAGTTGTGCACATCTGATTTTCCTTTTTTAATATTTGTACAGACCTCTCTATTTCAATGAGCTGACAAGAGTTCACGTTTGACACAGCTGTTGCTGAACAACATGCAAGATGCCACCATAAATTAAAGGTTTTCATTCAGGACCCATTTCTTTGCCCAGATCATAGTGGGAGTCTGAACCCAGCTTCCCAACCTCTTTTAACAGGCCTACCTGGGATCCTTAAGGAAACACCTGGACAAGATCATCCAATCAGTTAGCTACTGCTAAGCTTCTTGACATTTGGAACAAGTAATAGGTTTATTCCAGGCTCAAAAAAAGAAGAAAGAAAAAACAACGTTTCGGCTGTGGAGCCTTCTTCAGGTGTGAGCTAGTTTTTTTCAGCCAGGGATAAACCTATTACTTGTTCCTTTGCAGCCTATGCATGCTGACGCAGCTACCCACCTGAACTACTTCTTGTCATTTGGTGTTATTCTACCCCTAGACTGACCTTATTGAACCAATTTCATAGCCTGTATCAAGACTCTCATAAAACCCCACTATCTTCAGTTTCTCAAAACCCTGCACAGTGACAGGGCCAAAGAGCAGGGGCTGGACAAGACACCTTCCTCCCAGCAACCACAGGACTCGTGGAGCTGTCCTCTAGAGTCACGCTCGGTGGCTTGCCAGGAGCTGGGATTCGAAGACGGATATGTGGAAGTCGACATAGCTTGATCAAATCAAAAGGCAGACAAATAAGATTCAGCTCAAACAAAACTGCATCCATTCAACAGTGCGTGTGTGCGCAGTCTGTGAGCATTAATCCTTCAGACAGCAGAGGCAGCCTGAGGCAGGGGAGGAGAGAGCAGCCAGAAATAACATTGTCACGACTAATCGCCATGCTGCCTAATCAATGTGCCTTTCACGGTCCTGGGTTTAGGGAAATCGTGATGTCAGTGCGCTCTTAGAGCACCTCGAGGAGAAGAAATTCTGACAGGCATTTCTGCATTACTCGCTCACAAACCGATTTCCTCTGTTCCAGCTCAAAAGTGATGTGCTGCCACTTCTTTTGCGTGGTTGTTCAATGTGCTGATACTCCCATTTCTTAGGCAGTATCACGAGCTAGCCCAGAAGAAATGGGTGCTTCAAAGCACCTCAACCTCAAAGGCCCTTTTGGGGCTGGTCTATTTTTCTGAAATAACTGGAGAATGCAGACTAGTTTTGGAAACTACTTAGCAAACCACCAACACTCCAGCATAGTATTAAATAGGTGAGAAAAAAATGAAAAAAAGATGCTTATTCAAGCGTACTCCCTACAATGCAGATAAACTGAGTGGTTTTCCCATTTCCTTCAAGGTCCATAACGCTTCTGAGAATCTGTGTCAAGCACTCCGTGACTACCGAGGACAAGCTATGTATTGTGGATGACCTGCAGTAGAGAGCAACCAGGTACATTATGGGATGTACAACGTTGGCTACAAAACTGAACGTTTTTAGTCTTAAAAAAGAGACCGTGAAAGGACTTAATACAAGTATTCAAAATCCTCAAGGGCACTGACAAAGTCAACCCAAAGACAAAGTCAACCCAGAGGACCAGAAACCAGGGGGCACTACATTAAAGTTTAAAAGAGAAAACTGAAGGCATTTCTTTACCCAAATGTTTGAGGGAGTATGGAACAAGCTACCCAGCCATATTATTCAAACCACACTGGCTGCCTTCAATAGATGCCTAACTACCAAATGAGTTAGATGGCTTCCTCACTTTTGTAACTTTTTGTAATTTCTTAAGTACTGTATGAGACAACACCAACATCCAGAGTTGCCCACTGTAACAGAGCGGGACAGTGGTGAGAGGAAAAACGGCACATAATGAAAAATTAGTTGCCAGGAGGTCACACAGGCAAGAAGAGAATCCCAATTTCCTCTCCCTGAGAGTCCGCAAGCCGATGAGAGGACCGTTCATCCACAGCCTTGATGAGCAGACAGGGGGGGGAAGAGTACTGTAACTGAGTAAACTCCACTTTTCTTGGCAAGTTTATTGCTAATCAGGTCTTGAGAATGAGCTGCCCTCTCCTTCTTTATAAGCCGTAGAGAGCATGCTGAGACTGAGAGCAGGACAATTATGGGAAAAAAAACAGGGAGTGCAGGTATTGTTTTATTTTGGGAATCCAAAGATTACGCCATACATTCAGAATGTGGAAGTGTTTGGATTTTCACTGTTAAAGTCATAGGGAAATAAAAGTATATATACTTAATATGAATACATTTGTATTTTTGCCTATGCTAACTAGTCATGTGTTTTCTATCTTTGTCTTCTTGTGTTCTACAGTTTTATTCTAGGTTTTCAATTTCAATTACTTTTCAGAAAGTTTGAGGACTAGCTTTTTCACTTGGAGATTGTGTGTTACAATGTCTAAATAAAGATCAAATAAATTCTGATTTAATGTGTCTCGATTTCAGGTTGCTAGGCCACAAAATGTTACTTTGAAAATGAGAGCCACTTTGAAATTCAGACTTGTCTACAGGCACTTTAAGTCATAATTGTGAATGTTTTACCAACACAGAGGGCTTATTTAGTATTTAGTTTGGCCTAATAAAACAACTCTGCACTGCAAATAATCAAATTATGGGCACTGTAAAAATGTATCCTCTGCTCTGCTATGAGGGTGTTTTCCACAGATCCAGCCATAGAAATATCAGATTTCCTTGTGCCACATTCACAACACTGCTGTCTGGACAGGACAACTAGTGGTACATAAGTTCTTCTGCCCTAAAAACAGCAACCAAGTGCATCAGTACAAAGCATTACTCCAGCTCTGAGCCCCACTGTCAGGATGTTCAGTGTCCGAACCAAATGTTAGAACTGAGACAAGAAACCAGCTTTCTGCCCTCAGATGTGCTAATAGGTATTCTCTTGGGGGAAAAAAAATCAACTTTATCATGTATTCTATGTATATTATGTTGTAGTGCTTATGGCTTGCGAATTGCTTTAACTGATGTGTCCATAGCCTTCCCAGGCCTGGAACAGAAAACCTATGTGTTATCACATAAGACCCTGTGGTAACAGAAAGTGTTCGAACAGTTTTGTTTTTGAACAGGATCAAATTTGATGCATTTTCAAGTGAACTTTCGAAAAAAATGCCATCCCAGCAGTTTAGGCACGCATCGCAGCACTTCACTGCAGAAAAGAGCTGTCATAAATCATCCACAAACCACTATCACCGCAGCCCAACAGAGTTGTCTATGGGAAACCTACCACTCCAGATGTGAGCAGGGAACAGCTATAGTGCCAGATGTTAGACTGTCTGTATACCCAAGAGCTCCACTAGGGCGCTCCCAAGTGGAACAGCTCTCATGACATCCTCAGCCTATAAACTCTGGGACCAGAGACGGGGAGACTGTCTGACGGCAGTCCCAGACTTTAGCATTTCCAATGGGGACAGCAGTTTTTAATTATCACTGTACGCAGCTTTGTTACCCAGTAAGGATAGAGAAACAACAACACCACAAAGTAGCGAGACCATGGCGGCAAAATTTACCTCAAGCCATATAGCTTTTCTCACAGCCAGAAGCTGCAAGTTAGTCATTTACTGACTAAGATTAATTAGACACCTTTATGTTTACTATTTCTGTGCTGCGTAAGGCTTGAGCTTATAATGATCAAAGCATACAGGTGGACAACAGAAACACAAAGATACCCTGGGTCATAACAGCTCACAACATTGCCTTGAGCACTGTTATCCAAGTCACCACTACTTATTTGGGTATAATACATAAAGTATCACTGTTATATGAGAAGGACCTTGACCTCAATCAATCGCAATGTGTGTGAGATGAGCCAGACTCTCACTGCAATTGGAACTCATTTCTACATATAACCTGTCCTGTCCAAATACAAAACGGTATTACTGTATCAACCATATGATGAACACAACATAATTAAACACAACACTTTCCGATGTATTAGTTTTCATTCTCCCTGAAGGCCACAGATCACAGAAGGCCATCTGGCTCATTAAGCTCGTTTGGTTCTATTTCTCTGCAGTTCAATAGTCAGGACTGGTTATACTGAGATCAGCCACCCCCACCCCAAGTACAGAATCTGTAGAGTTGCCGATAAAACCAAGTATTGAAGTCGAAGGTGCTGGTTTGCGACAATTTCCTTTAGTTGCAACTACTGATATTAGTAATTGTGTTTCACAAACATTTTCAGCATTTTTATGTTTCCCCCTTGTAAATATATAGTTTGATATAGTGTTTTGTGTGCAATTTGAATAGCTGTCACAGCACCATAAATCCATGAACATCTTTGGTGCATGGGGGGGGGGGGTATAAACTGCACCACTGAGTGAAAATTAGGAGGACATGTGACCTGTAACCCAATCAGAGAGATGCCTACTCACGTCTTCAGTGTCCTTTACTCGTAAGATCTGTTCTCTTAAGTCCTGTAGGTCGTTAAACGTTGACTGCGCTGTAATGGAGTATACTAAAGCAAAGCCCTGGCCATTCTTCATGTAAAGGTCCCTCATCGCCGTGAACTGCTCCTGTAACAAAGAGAGGCAGAGCAAGAGGGGTGAGTGACCCCCCTTTTTGGTCCTGAGCTGTCCAAGTGCCACCCCAGAAACACACAACTGCCATCCCTCAACCTGACCTGAGGGCAGGCAAGGAAAGGGACGTGTAACCATCGTTTTGATTGGATGTTGACTGGGACACCGAGAGGCAGAGAACAATCTGCACCCCGTCTTGCAACCTCTGCTGACGGCCCTGTTGTCATAAGGCCAGCCGAGCAGGTAGTGATTAAAACCACATGAACAATTCAGTGCAGCGCCGATTTGTTACAGCACTGAGCTCCGTTGCATTTGGGTCATCTCCAGCAATAGTTTGTCAATCCACACCACATAACACCGAAAGGGGAAGAAATAATAAAGGCAAACACAATATGTCAAATTAAAAGCCTAACATTTTAATCAAGGGATGATAAAATTGCATAACAAACCAGAAGTAAGTCCTCATGTAGAAGGTTGTGAACATTTAAATCACATGTTAGACTTATGGAAAAGATGAAGTTATGCCAGATAAGGGAAACCAGATACATTCTACTGCTTAAAGGTGTGTCCTACACTGTCAGGATGAAGGAAATGAACCTTTTAAGCCTTAGTCTTAAACCAATTGTTCCCTCATGCGCAGTCAAGCACTTGAGCACACAGCTCCTGAAAGCAGGCCGACTGGGCACAAACACACGCGGTAACTGGTGATAATCTCGAGCTTCTAGAGCCAACGTAGTCGGTTGGGGTCTTCCCCTCCGGAGAGCAGATATTTGTTTTTTTTCCCCCATTTCGGTTTGACTGACCAACAAAGAAGCTGGAGTTCCACTTACCGTTCCTGCTGTGTCGAGGATCTCCAGCATGCACTGCTGCCCGTCCACTTCCACTTGCTGCCCGGGGGAGACGGGAGAGAGAGGAGAAGAAGCTGAGTTCATTCTTAACGCTGCACACCCGTACAGCTCGGGTCCAACACAGAGACCATCTTCACTGCAACACCTACCTTTCTGTAGGAGTCTTCTATTGTCGGGTCATATTTCTCAACGAAAATTCCCTGGACGAACTGGACTGTCTGGAGAGAGAGACAGAGAGAGAGAAACTGGATGAGCAATCAATAATCTCATGTTAACGCACGTGTTTGCATCAGTATTTCTAAACCTGTGCGCACAAGTCTGAGGAAACATCCTCATTATACATTAGGCATTATGAGGACTGGGGAGGGCATCCTCACAAGAGAAATTGTCCTTGTTTATTTTTAGTAACCAAATGGTATCCACCTTAAATTCTAAAAGTGCCAGAACTTTTTACATTTACATTTTTCTTTCTACTTTCTGCTGCACAGTTAAATTTCAAGTAAAAACAGAAGTCAAGTGGAGTTGTTCAAAAGTACAGCATGCAAACGTCTGAGTGGTAGAAACCAACTAACTAAAGCACTAGCTCAAGTGCCAGTTCTGGACGAACACTGAACATTGGTCTATACAAGATGACACCCCTGCTTCCGCCCTTGTCAACCTCTTACTCCCCACCTACAGAGCCAGAGTAAATCTACCTCAAATAAAAAAGCCTAAAGAAACAGCAATTCAGAGCAAATCCAAACTGTGTGCAGCCCCAGTGGACTGGCTAGGGGCTCAGAGCTACTATGAGCGGTTTAACTCTATACCACCAACAAACACGTAGAAAATCTTAGCTGGTTGCAAGTGCATTTAAAAAAACATGTGCCACTCATTTACCAAAAATAACATTTAAATTACATAAATAAGTTTTGGAAGACAGTAAAAAAAGCAGTCATACCATCCCTCAATTACAGAAACTGCTTTTTCCTAAGCAACATTCCACAGAGCAGCGGTCACTACCAGCGGCATCTGGGGAGCGTCCCACTAAGAACACTTGCATTTAAAACAACTACATAAAACACTAAGCTTCAGTTACATAATGGGGCAATTAATACACAAGAAAGTCAAACTGAGACTCTTTAAACATCTAGGGTTGGTTTCACAGACTACTCCCAGTGTTCCTAAAATAACACCATGTAGTTCATGTTAATCTGGGTATGTGCAACCAGTGGCTAATATTTAACTTACACCCATTCCAACATAAATGTCACCAAAAACACCCTCTCAATAATGCGATTGCTTAGTACTACATTTAGCAGTGGGAACACATATGGAGGTTACACAACGTTTAATGAACAAAAGGAAAAGCACACACAATTTCAGTGCAAATAAAATGCATCTTTTTTTGGTTTCAGTGGCAGAAAAGGCCCTTTTTCAAGGCCTGGTTTTGAGGATGTACTTAGCCAAAGTAAAGCAAAACACTGGCAGGAACACCACAGAAGGTTTTAAAATGCAGAGCAGCCAGGGTAAGCTCAATTCATGAACAAATCTTGTGGAAAGAAAGAGCTGTTATAAATGAACCCCCTAAGATATCAAAAACTGCTACAAGGCTATTAATCATTTTCTAATTGCCTTCTTAAGGACAATATCATAATTTAAAAATCAGTGCATTTTAAATAGAAAATCATTATTAATGGTCTTGGATATTTTTCGAATTGGCACAAATGCTCTACACAACGAGGCACAAATTACTATTAGGGAAAAGAGCATCTGCTGCACAGGGACAGCCTTATACACACCTCTTTATAATGATGGACTCCCAAACAGCCTATTCCTAAACGGAAGGCAAAATACCACTACAACCAAGTGATGCGAGCGGTTTGCCCCAATAAAAAAGCACGGCAAAGCAAATCAGAACATCCTTTTGTTTATTTTTAGCTCTTGGTTCTGGAGACACAAAGATCGAGGCATGGGGCGGGCACAGTGCCAGCAGCCCCCAGGAACGAGGCCTCTCCCAGCCCTGACCCCAGCACCCCTGCCATGCAGTCCTGGAGCCCGGCCATGGCTCTTTCCTAAGTGGATTGGCATCCGGGAGAGCTGGGCTACCACTGCCAAAATGCGAGGACAAGAGCCCAACCGTGGAAAAACAAAAAGAAGAACTGGGTCTGACAGTGAGAGACGCTGAGGAGGCTCGCATACTTCTGTATCTGGGCCCTCGTGCAAATGGACACGCAGAAGGCCAACATTTTTCAAGAGTGTCCTGCTGTGCACTGGTATAAAAGTATAACTTCACTGTGACACAGTAGAGGACAATGGTGAACTACATGATACTACAAAATGGCAAAGCAGGTGAGAAATTGGGAAAACCATGAGGATGCCAGGGAAATTTCTCATGGTTCCTTTTTTCCCGGTGGGTGCTTTTTTTTCTTGGTCTGAGGTGGGGCCTGCTTTAAAAATGGCAGGACTCCAGTCAGTTTGCCAGTCTTTTCTTACCTGGTCCTTCTAGTTTGCTTCGGCAGTAGGGTATGTCACAGGAAAACAGGAGGGGAAGCATTTAGGCGCTGCGCACACCAGACGTCGCATCTCGCAAATCTCAAAGCGCCACGCAGCAAGGGCACATTACAGTGCTTTTAAGCTCAGGATTTTACAAGTACAATTTACTGCTCCGAGTCTGACTTGATCAACTAAATTAGTCTGAATCACAATTGGAAAGCAAGTAAAAAGCAATGAAAAAACCATGGTACTTTTTTTAAAAACAGCAGAAGCAACCACGACAATAAAGTGAGTTGCTTTACAGGCTGCCAGGACCTCAGGCAGTAGGTGGACACATTACAACCCTCCATGGGTTACATGAGACTCAACATAAAAAATTCCAAAGGTCCCAAAATCAAATTTGAGTTCTGGAAAGTTCCAGACAGATAAGTGAAGCATAAGGTAAGCAGTGCGTTTCCTCTGCAGATTAAGAGCACAAAAAAAGTGGAATGTGGTCACCAGGGCACAATTTTTCTTTCAGTCTCGCTTTGTTCTCGCCCAAGTGCTCTATCACCGGCGCATCATCCCTCTTTCAATTCTCTCTCTAAAGTTTCATTAAGTATTTGCTGTAGATTTTTAACTGCATGTCATATTTGGCGTTCATTCCCAATGCGAGGTTTTAAAATGCTTTTTCATTCAGCAAAACAATTTGATTTCTGAAGATCATGTGTTCATTCCCTCTACAAGTTCAAGCAACTGTTTCTGAATTCTGACAAACTCGGGGTTTGGAACAAAACCCTTATGTAAGTCAGGGAGTGGCTGTGTTAAACAGCTCCACAGCGTGGAGGCCTGGAATCACCTAGGACTTCCACTGCATAACTGGCAGTTATGTGCAAATACATATGAAACCACGTCATTTATAAGTAATTGCAATATCAACGAAAAGGGAGCTAAACCTTAGCACACTTGCATAATTACAAGTCTGTCGGGTAATTTACGAAACTGATCAATTTTAATTGCATCAAGCAATTTTCACCAAACAAGTCTCACTGCCTCTCAGGATAAACTTTCAGAATAGAGATGACTGCTACATCCAGCCTGCAGAGCGTTTACTATGTACTGCAGAACAAGAGCCGAAACTGAGCGAAATCCCACTGGCACTGCAGGCTGAGTGAGCAACAGTGTTATTGCAGCAGCTGTAATGAGAAAAACACACTCACCAGAGCGGACTTGCCCACACCTCCGGAGCCTAGCACCACTAGTTTGTATTCACGCATGGTGGGGTCACTTCACCAAACAGCGTCGCAGTCTGGAAAACACGAGAGAGAGCGTGAGCACGTGTGACAGGAGAGGGACTGGTAACACTGCATGTTCTACTAATGCGGTGTTCAGGTCACCTGCTGGGAGGGGAAACCAGACCAAACCACAGCTGTGGCCTTCACAGGCCACGATTCAAAAGCCTAGAAAGGCAGTACCTGAAGTCTAATGACAGGTTCAACTGGCTTAGTTAAGGAAGTAAGTTAATTCTCTCAGGTAGTTAAGAGCTCCAAATGGCATTGAAGAAACAGAATTAGATTTTGTTTAAAATCAGTCCAGGGTAGAAATCGGGGTTTCCTAGTCAAAGACCTCAGTCTCTTCTGCTGTTCCTTCCAGCTGAGCTTAGCTGATCTACTTTTCTCCTGTCTCTTTTTTTAACTTGCTTTCCACTCCAGAAAACCAAGAGTTACCTACAAAGTTTCTCAAAAGTACAGTGGAATGGACAATCTGAAAAGGAGATGGAAACCAACATTTTATAGGCTGTGCAAAATGTTAGTCCAGTTGGGATTTCAACAAAGCGTTGCTGGAACAAATCCTGGAAGACACCAGGTTCCGAAAAGTCATGAACTGGCTTAGCAGGGACTTTCTATAACGCATCCCCTAGGAGAGGAGAATTGACTCACATTAAGCTTTATAGAATAACTGCAAATGCCTCTCCAGGCCCAGACCGGGATCTCTGAGTTTTTTGCTGCTGTCATTACGGCAGAGTCCTGCCCACGAGTTTTCCTAGGAACTAAGCTGTAGGGGAATCGTGACGAATGAGCGGAAAAAAAAAAACAGCAGTTGTTTTACCCTCACACACACAAACTAGACCATATAAGGACATCTTCTCCCTCTCTCGTCTCCTAGAAAGAACCCACCCGCCACCTTAAAGTGTTTCACTTCTCCAAATCGCCTTTCCTACTCACATGCTCCTAACAAATAAGGCGCGAGGCAGAGTAACGTTCTCATAAACGCACAATTACACACTGCTGCTGAGCCTTGCCAACGCACATGCACAGATGTGCTCCTATCATGACATCACCAAATAAGCAGCGTTTTTTTGTTGCTTTATTTTCCCTCCATGTAAGGTTTGAAGTAGTGAGAAGAACACACTGTGCAGGAATCAGAGGTTTTGTTTCTTGGCTCTGGCTTGGACCGACAAGAGCAGAAAACAAATGATAACAAAAGGAAAGGAAACGGGGCAAAAACAAAAAAAGTCTGCCTTCAGGAAATCCTTCTAATTAGATATCCCCATATGAAGCCACATAAAACCACATGATACAAAAACGGAGGCTGTGCCGTCAGCCAACCTTGACATGTTCTGTGGCTGGCCAAGAGCCACTGGGACTGGCTGGGGCCAAGCTGATCGTAGTTCCCCCCGTTTGCCACGCGACAGGTACCTCTGGATGCATGTGAGCTTGCAATCCCTAAGAATCACCCACACACACCTCCCAAAGTGGACCAGTGTGAATGTTACATGGACTGTCAAGCTGATTAACACAGGGAGGCTCCACAGTCGCCATCCTGAATGATCAACACAGCATGATGACACTGTCAGTGCCGGTAATGAAAAGGGACACAATCGTGTGTGTTTTATTAGCAATACAATGTTTAGTTTCTAGATTTTGGGGGGGGAGGGGCACTGTATGCAGGCTTTACCCAGAAACCAAAACAGAATGAAAGAGGAAAAAAAAAGAACGAAAGAATCTCTTTTACACCCCACCCACTGTCCTGGGAGGTGAACAGAGACTGGGCGCCGCCCTGCTCCTCACTCACAGGACACACAACATGGATAGGGAATGAAACTCCAGTGCGGGGGTCACTCAGGGGCCGAGACGAGGCACAGAAACGGGAGGCACTGAGATCATCCAAAAAGGCTTTAACAGCCTGAGTGGAGAACGCCTTTAGGGATCCCAATCATGTGTCTTTCCTGTTTCGGCATCTCATGACATCAGCCCCATGTCTCCTTATCGTGTATACCGCACACAATATACTATGACCTACACATTCAACTTTCTAACAGGCCTAAAAAGTTGTTCAGCCAACACGGAGAAGGAAGGCAGCCGCAGATATAATAAGATATGCAAAACCGCTCTTGTGGAGCTCGACAGCACCGCACTTCCTTCTTATCTGTGCTGCCCGAGCCGGTCTTCTTTTCAGAAGGAAAGTCAGCTGCAGCTGATAATCCAAGAGGAAAGAGTGGTAGAGGATCCCACAGCACACAATGGAGTTGCTGGGGGTGGCAGGAGAGAAAGTAAATGGGCACAATTTCAAGACATTTCCAACCTTTGTCACAGTAAGGGTTCAGGCCTGAAATCAATTAGCAAAGCCGTCACATGCTTTAATATAATTAGCCGATCTGTAAATAAGGTTACACAGAGTCTCCTGGAAAGCTGTGATGCGGGTCTTCTCGATATCTATCACACCACGGCTGACAATTACCCTAATTAGTCTCCGCGGTCAACAAAGTCACCTTCAGCACCACCATCCGACGCAAGTTACTTCCAGGTTCAAATATGTAGCAGAGACTAAGCAAAAGGGGAGAAGAGAACCTTCTGGAAATACCTCCCCACATACTCTACCTCTGTATTTGTGACAGGGACTCACATAGGTAATGCACACCTATCCTCGCCAATGCAAAACAAAACACACTGCACATAGCCGCCAGCACAGTACCCAAAGGAGCCACTGCATTGATAGGTCACACTGAGGCCCTAAGGAATATTTTATCCTTGGGACAGGGAGGATGGTTGGCCTGTGGCGGGAGATTTCCAATCTGAGACCAGGGCTCTGCCACTTTCCTGCCCTGTCATTCTTTGTGCTCCACTCTCTGGATGAGACTTAATGCTACCAACATTTTGCTGTGTTGAGGTCACACCTACTCTCCCCTTCAATGTTACAGAATCAACAATAATTGCTGCATAACAGTATTATGTACTGATGCCTTGGTCCTTGCCTCTCTGAGTTCAACGGAGACCAAGAGGTACTTCGCTCCATAATACACCTAACCACGTTTTTGCTTCCATCTTCTTGTAAGCAAAAGAACTATCTTCTTGAAAATCCACAGATTAATTATCTACCAGCAATCAAACGAGAAGGATGAGTCGAAGTGCCTCCTCTTATCTGTTATATTTATATTCTCTAGTCTCAAACTCCCATTTGCACCCAACATGCTCAAAATAAGCAGATATACCCCTGACAGATATTGCGCACAGTGCACAACACAAAGCACAAAACAGAGCAGACAAAGACCACAGAGACTATGTTTTGAGCAGCACAAAGTGGACTGTACGCAGAAAGCTACTTTTCCATGGTTGCAGGAGTGTTCCAGGAAAATAGGACAATTCTGTTCAGTCCAGAGAGAGGCAGCATTTTTCATCATTGCAGGGCTGTGTACAGATGTGAACATACTAGATTATCTTGTCTAAATTTAAGAAAAAAAGCATAGAGAATGAACCTGGCTGGCTTAGTTCCACAATGAACTGGTTGGCCCAGGCCAGGCCTCATGCGCTTGTTTGTTTTTGGGGGGGTGGCCTGGCTCCTGCTTGCTTCACTTCCCATAACACCATTTGCTCAGTTTACAACGATACTTATTCAGGATGCTTACTTCAGCACAACAGCGTCTAAAAAGAAGTTCTGAAGGCAGACAGGAATCAAGGTCAGGAAACACATCACTGCTGCACACGCCCGGCGAAGTGTTATTTCACAATGAGCAGCATGCAACGCCAATAAGCTTCCCCCGCACACTTCCTGGCAATCAGCAGATGAAGTCTTATCAGAAGCATGTCAACATGGGAAGCAATCTAGACACTCCAAACAACCTTAAAAAGTGTTTAAAAACTAAGAAAATATTCCTGAACGTGATTATTGTTTTTAACACAATCTGTTCTCAAGGATAAATCAGCAAGATGTCAGAGTGACTGTGGTTCAGATCTGGATCTAGTCAAAGTTCTATCGCCCATAAACCTATTCTGTTCAAAACCTCCGAAAAGGCAGTTTAACCACAAACCATCGAGTTCACGCTTCTCGTTTCTTCCTTTTTAGGAGAAATCAGCCAGTTGATGATGCCTGTACTTTGTTCCTGGGTTAAGTTATCTCATTTAGATTGTGCATCTCAAGAAGCTTTTATACCAGCATTAATGCGCACTGAAAAAATACATAGAGATGTAATCTGTGAAGTGGGAGAGTATAAGAATAGTTCCATTCCTCTCTCAAACAGGAGAATAGCCTGGCCTGATCAGCTACCAGCCTTTTACCCCCTCCAACAGCCAAAGTCTTGTGGTTTAGTATTATATAACAGTGAGATTATGTGATCAAGTGGCGGCGATAAAGAAAAATGGAACTTTAGGCTGCTTCACTTCCTTATGGCCCAAACAGTGGCACATGATTCCTGAGACTTGTACTCAAATCCCTGATGTCGAATGGCCTTCTGGGTACTCCCTGACCTGCCACAGGTTTCCCAACGGGCCATGGGTGACCTGCATTCAAGGGAACCGGCACTGCATGACAAAACCTCAGCTGCAACACAGGGAACCAAGAGCAGAGGCCACTGGGAAAAGAAACGACTCCTGGCGTTTTTTTACCTAACACGAGGAAACTCAACTCCATAAACAAACACAAACCAGACTTTAAAACATTGCTACACAGTTCGATTATTCCCTGAGCAGCTTCTCCCGCAGGGATAAGAATGAGTTGAATAGTAGCACAACAGGAAAATATCAAGAAACAGGTGGGAGTTCAAGCAGCGCCACTCTCCAGAAGCGGCGATTATTTTCTTCCTTTTCTTTTCTCTTCATTCCCTTTAGGATCAGAGTAGATCGATACTTCTCTTGCAAGCGGCCCAGTACTTCACAAACCTCATGCAACGCTCAAGGCTAAACTCCAGCCTTGCTGATAAAGACTATCCTCGCACCTCGCCGCTCGCTTATTGATTGGCCCCGGTTTCCCACGATCGCAAGCCCGATAAGGACATCCACTTTTGTTTTTTTCCCTCCTCTCACACGCGGCCTG